TCCCAGGATTTATGAATTACAGTAGTAATTATAATCCTGTATGGGAAATGATTAAACCAGAATCAAACATTTTTGTTAAATTGGAGAACTTAGAAATTTACAAACATTGGAATGGAAAATTTATCTTGGATTACAAGTGGAACCATTTTGGAAGAAAATATCACATAGGAGTATCAATAATTTATACATTATTTTTATTAAGTTTTGCTATTCCTACCACTAGTAATCCAGGTGACTTTACTGACATTGAAAAGGAAAAATCATTGATGGCCTGTATTGCACTTGGTTCATTTTTTATGATTGTTGAAATCAGACAATTTATTTGGGGAGGGATGAGTTATGTGAAAGATCTTTGGAATATTTTTGGTATGAAGTATTTTTTTTTTTCTAATATTAAACATTGATCCAAATCATTGATTTCATTGATTTCATCAATTTCATTTTTTAAATCTGTTAAATATTCATTTTCTTTTTGATTCAAATCTTTGATTTTTTTGATTTTATCTTCTAATTTTACTAAATCTTCTTTTTCTTTTTTCTCTAATGTCCAATAATTTTCTTTGATTTTATTGATTTTAACTTGTAATTTTGCTAAATCATTTTTTACTTTTTCTGTTGTTGATATTGAAATATTACCTTCGATTCCTTTGATTTTATTTTCTAATTTTACTAAATATTCTCTCTCTTTTTCCTTTGATGTCCAATATTTTTCCAAAGAAGCTTTATGAATTTTATTGACTTCATCTTCTAAACATGCTAATTTTTTTTTGTCCTCTCTTCTTTCCTTCCAATATTTTTTTGAAGAAACCTCTTTGACTTTATTAATTTTATTATTGAATTTTGCTATATCTTCTTCTCTTTCTTTATTTGTTGTTGATTCCCAATATTTTGTCGAAATCTTATTAATTTCATCATTTAAACTTGATAAATCATCATCTGCATTTTCTTTTGTTAAGTCCAAATATTGAGTCCAAATATCATCGAATAATCCTTTATTTGATTTTTCCTCCAATTCAGCCACCACATCATCATTTTCCTCCTCAAATACCAATGTGTCACTTTTTACATAAATGAAATCTACTTTTTTAATATGAACTTTTTCCTTAAATTCAACTATAGATGGATTTATATTATATGTTAGATTATTATTATAAATAACAAGAATAATATTAATTATGTATCCCTATAAAAAATAAAATACGAATAGGTACGGGAAAGCGTACAGAACAGTTCGTGTAACAAAAACGAATTTTTTGCATTCCGTATTTTTATTTTCTATAGGGTATATAACAACTACTTACATGATGAAACTGTTATATTACGCTCTAATGAATAGACTACTAGCTTCGAATCTTGACGATAATCAGCCACCATCAATGCCTCTTCCGCATTACTTTTTTTATTAAGAACCATATAATCATTAGATTTTAAGTAATAATTTTGTTTGTAATAGTAATTGTAATTGCCGTAAAAACGATTCTGACTCATACGATCCCATTCCGATATCAATGAATGACTAGCAGCAGCAAGAAAATGATTGTCATCGTAATAAATCTTTGGGGTTTCATCACTATAAATATTATGTGTATCGAGAAGTTCTAAATGGTCATCGGCATTGCTGTTATATTCCATGGAATATATTTTATATTTTTTTTCATCTTTATTGCTTCTTCTCAACATCATTAATTTAGGGGTTTCTTTTGACTCGCTATTTTTCTGGAAAATAACTCTTGTGTCCTTTTCTTTTTTGTCTTTTTCGTTGTCTTTTTTTTTTTCAAAACGCGAACCTTTTCCTTCGTTATCTTTTTTGATTTTGTTTCCAATCTTCTTAGGATACTCGATGATTTTTCCTTTTTCCAGATTGAACAATACTGAAAAAAAATATTAAAATTGTTTTTAAGAGTTTATTTTTTTAAAAAATTAAAGTAAATTAATTACTTACAGCAATATTCACTTTGTATAACTACACATTGATTATTAGAAATTTCATTGATATAAACCTTGGGTTTGTCTTTAGGATTATCGGATTTGTCTTTATCAGAAATTTCATTGATAGAAAGCTTAGATTTGACAAATTCCTTACTATACTTATAAATTTTAGAACAACTTAAATGTTTTCCCCTAACTTTCCATAAAATGATGATTCTGCCTTTTCTACAATGAGTTACAAAAAATTCATTTCATCTTTATTGCTTCTTCTCAACATCATTAATTTAGGGGTTTCTTTTGACTCGCTATTTTTCTGGAAAATAACTCTTGTGTCCTTTTCTTTTTTGTCTTTTTCGTTGTCTTTTTTTTTTTCAAAACGCGAACCTTTTCCTTCGTTATCTTTTTTGATTTTGTTTCCAATCTTCTTAGGATACTCGATGATTTTTCCTTTTTCCAGATTGAACAATACTGAAAAAAAATATTAAAATTGTTTTTAAGAGTTTATTTTTTTAAAAAATTAAAGTAAATTAATTACTTACAGCAATATTCACTTTGTATAACTACACATTGATTATTAGAAATTTCATTGATATAAACCTTGGGTTTGTCTTTAGGATTATCGGATTTGTCTTTATCAGAAATTTCATTGATAGAAAGCTTAGATTTGACAAATTCCTTACTATACTTATAAATTTTAGAACAACTTAAATGTTTTCCCCTAACTTTCCATAAAATGATGATTCTGCCTTTTCTACAATGAGTTACAAAAAATTCATGATTGGGACTATAATCTATTTCATCGATTTGTTCTTCATATTTGCTTTCTTGGTTAAGCTCGAGTTCATATTTAAACTCGTCCCAACCTAGTCTTTTAATGTCAGTCAGCGTCGGTGAGTCACCATTTTCAATAGTAATTTGGTTAAGAGTACTCCCTTCAATATTATCACTCATTTTTTTAATTAAAGGAAATAAAAAAAATCGTCGAATTGACAACGTATTTATCATCATTATTGTTATATTGCAAATGAATTCACTAAAAGATAATTTTTTGAGAAACACGACATTAATCAATATGCGGATAATTAAATGATCTGCGAAAGAATTCACTTGATTTTCAATGCCATTATATTTTTGGGTCATCCTATATACAGAAAGGTTCTTTTTATGAAATATACAGAACCTATGTGACAAATAAGAATTTATTTTTTGGAGTTGGTAAGCATTCCATAACTCCTACCACCCCAAGCTTCACAAATTTAATCGTCACATATAGATAGTTGTTACGAGGGTGTAACAAAAATTTGAGCTTATAAAATAAATTTCCATTATTGGTAGGGTACTGTATATTTCAAAAAAAGAACCTTTCTGTATAGGATATTCCAATATTTTTAATAACAAATAATAATAAAATAAACAAATAGAAAATAGAAAATCATGTATTTTTCCGCAAATTTGCGCAGCATCATGAAAATATCCAATTTTATTGGTGGTTGGGTGCAGATGATTTTTGCGGAAAAATACATGATTATAACAAATAGGCCCATATAAATCTTTTTTCTTGGCATATTTATTTAACTCTTCACGCATTATGTTAGAATTGGTTGGAGGTTATGGGTATTATTATTTAAGATACACTCCTACTTAAAGGATTAAGGATTACGAATTAAAATTTTCAGATCATCTTCACAACCGATTGAAAACAAACGGAAAGGCATCTAACAAATCTCAAAGAAGGAACTCTGCTCATTGCCACGTAGATTTTTCCCTGGGACAGGTTGTCTGCTATATTAACATGTAATATGGTGCGTTGCGTCACTCGCAGAATTTATTTTGCAAAGACAGGACCCAAAAAAATGTAATCTATTTATGTAGTTTCCGGTAAATCAATGTATAATAATAAAAAAATTTTGGTAAAAAATTGAATGACTTACTATTAAAAGTAAGGATCAGTGTGTCCACGTGGGTCTGGTTCATTTCGTCGACAATCATTTCGTCGACAATCACTTCATCGACAATCATTTCATCGACAATCATTTCGTCGACAATCATTTCGTCGAAAGTTCATTTCGTCGAAAAGTTCATTTCGTCGAAAATTATTTCGTCGGCAATCATTTAGTCGAAAGTTCATTTCTACAACAATTCATGTTAATTTGCATGTATTACAGTGTCACTAATTATGTTTGGGAAAGCGTGAATTAATTGATGATAACAATTGTTTATTATGTTTATGTGGAATATGTTTACTAACATATTAATTTAATTGGTGGATAAATTTGGTTTTAAATGTTTATTTATTTTATTTAGAGCTATGTTTTAACACAAAATTTTAATCCATGATATTATTATTAAAGTATACTTTTGTAATTAAAGCACAAAATTCGTCTGATAGCTTTATTGTAAGGTTTCTGGTCTAATATACCTAGTTCTATATAAAAAACGTTGAAAAACCCAAATCGACAAAATAGTTTGAGCTTTGAGAAACAGTTTGGGCTAGAAACCTTACTTGATTGTCAGACCCATTTAATCATACGATTTTAATAATATCAAAAACTAATTTTCAATTTAATGATAACATATGCATTGCACTGTTTAGTATCTACTACTACCATTTAATTTATTTATTATTAGTATAATTTGCATTTGTATGATTGTAATTAAGAAAGAAAAATTCAGGTAAAATCAGAGTGCTAATTAGTTTGCAAGTATACGAATGACTCAAATTTATGTATCATGAAAGGAATATTACCAATTTGTCTGATCCACACACTCTACTAAAAAACAATAATTATTATCAATGCTAAAATATTCAATGTCGATATTGTTGACATCACTATCATCGCCTCATTTATCATTAGTACGATACATAAGCCGACGAATTAATTTTCGACGAAATGAACTGTCGACGAAATGAACTTTCGACGAAATGATTGTCGACGAAATGATTGTCGACGAAATGATTTTCGACGAAGTAAACGGGACCGAGCGTTCACCGCCTGTTGAAGTGTATTAGCAAGAGTTTGTATATCTTTTTGATGTGTTGGTTTGTTTACTTTTTTGGTTTTGTGGTTTACTACTGGTTGATTTAAATTGAAAAAGTCTCCTATATAGATCTGAAATAGAATTGCCATCTGAGTCACTAGGGTTGTCACTATCTCCACTTGTTTGCTCTACAGAACTTGATATAACTTCGTTTGGTGCCAATGAAATTGATTAGTCCTTGCTGCTGCCTCTATATATTCTGATATAATTTTCAGGGTATTCCCTGTATAATGCTATAATACTTGAGATAAATTCCAAACTTGTTCTGGATCTTGTCCCACTAATAAATGCTCGAAATCAAAGAGGGTATATGAAGTGCAATATATGGCCTGACAGTTATCAGTCATTCAATTCCAAAATATGAGGAATTGTGGTGAGAAGTTTTGACATAGTAGGTTGCAATCATGGCAAGATAGGTCCCGCCCGATGAAGGTGAGTTATAGTTGTTAAACATGGATGTAATCGACGTTGTCTTTTGTGCTCTAAAGTATTTTGCTCTATAGTATCAAAGTTCATTCAACTAATCCTCATAAGGGTCTTCTTCGTATGGCAAATCGTCTGGGATATTCTTTTTTAATTAATTTGTTGCAATTTTTCTTCAAATGTCCTTTTCCTCTGCAGAGTTCACAATAAAGTGGTTTTGAAAAATGAATTCTATATCTTCCGCCTCAATTAGTCCTTGGACTTTACAATATTTCTTGATATGATCTTTTGTTTCACAAGAATAACAAATTTTGTTGTGGTAAGGCTCTTCTAGTTGGTAGTGATATTTGAAAAGTTGATCAAGATGTTTAGAGAAATAATTAAAGACCAAATTGGTTAACTGAGAATCCTTAATGTCATCTTGAGAATTTGTTGATAAACTTGAACAAAAACTTCTGATTTGATGTTAATTCTCTCAATTGGATTTACAAAATTTTTTGAATAAAATGGTTACCTCGTAAGGTGTAAATAAAGTAATAAATAATAAAAAACTAAAATAAAAGAGAAAGAATAATAATAATAACTTACAGATACCTTCATTCGTTGATGAGTTAGTGGAAGGTGCAATTTTATGAAATATCTTGAAAAAAAAAAAAAGAAAAGAAAATATTAAAAAAATTCTGTAGATTTCAATTAAAAAATTTTATCTTCTTAGTGTAAATTTCCACACAATCTGCACCGATTATGATTTGGGAGAGCGTATTAATTGATGGTAACAATAATTTTTGATTATGTGTATCAAAATGAATTGGCTATACTAACGAATTAGTTTTTATTAGCGTTTTATGATTTAAGAAAATGTTTGATTTTTTTACAGACCAGACAGAGCTTGGTATAGTTGCTTTAAAATAAAACGTATGGTTGGTTGGAAGGGTTAAACCAACTTATCCTGTACTTTTTATACACTTACTTTATTTATTTAGGATCGCGAGCACGAACTGATTAGGCGTAACCAATTAGATGGTACTTTTAAAATTTTTAGGCGTTTTTATATTTGCAGAGCGCCTTGACATATTCAAGATGTATTTATTCGTGCCCTCTTATATGTTGTCGTATTTCATCGTAAAGTATATCGTCCGGGTAAAAGTTTCTGATTTAATTATTTTTGAATTGTATTAAATCACTTGTGAATATTTCACATAACCTGCACCAAGTTGACAATATTTTTATGTTAATGTGGATCAGAATGAATAGATTTTAATCAATGAAATAGTTTTATTTACGAAATTTTTTGGTTTATATTACAAAGTTATTGTTACAGTATGTCGATTTCAATCTTTTTGTATGCATGTTAATTAATTAGTCGTTGCATAGCCATCAAATGGCAATATTTGTTTTTTCGGCCATTTAATGGTTATTCCGCACTCTTCGTAATCATCCCTCGTTAATTTCTACCAAAAGTTAAATAGATAATAACGTGTTACGAAATAATTAATATAATTATACAGATAAAATATGATAAACAATAAACAATAGACAATAGACATATAAAAATTAGATTAATCCGGCTTTGGCCAATAAATCGGCATCAAATTCTAATTTCGATAACAATATCTTTAGCAAAGAACCACCATACAAGTTTTATGAAAAGTTGCATTCAATTACGATCTCAAGGTATTTAAATCAATCAAATTTTTTATAACAATAAATGATGATAATAGATTTTTTTTTTTTTTAGTGCTTAGAAAATTTATAAAAAATTAAAAAAAACGACTCATTACAATGTTTCACCCATAAAAAAGAAAAAATTAAAAAATCAAAGCTTCCTAATAATAATGGATAAAATATTATAAAATATTTCATTTAAGTGTTGTTTTCTAAATATCCTGTAAAATATTGTTTTTAAAAATTAAATAATCCATTTAATCAAAATAAAGAATTTTATTTTATGTATGTGTGTGTGTAGGTATAAATGACCAATGTAATAATATATTTATCACTTTATGATAATGAACTGATAATTTAATATTATTATATTTTAAAGGAAAAAATAAATTGTTTTATATTAATGAGTAAAATTATCTCGCATTAATCATTAATTTTTGTGAATTTTTTACTAATCTTATTGTGAACAGAATTGATGATATTATTTTTTTGCTGTACATTCGTAAACAAAAGGATGGGTCTTCACAGTCTAAAAACCCAACAAACACGAAGAAAATACAATTATTAAAGGTGGTCAGCAAAATTTATATAATAATAATAAAATAATTAGAGGTTGGAATCGACTAAAATAATCGACTAAACTCCTTTTTGAACAACTAATAGTCGACTATTTTAATCGATTATTTAGTCGACTACTAATACTACTAATACTAATACTAATACTATGTTAATATTATTATTGTCTGACCAATTACGATTTTTGTGTTTTATCATTCAAAATGGAAAATTTCTATGCGGAAAGAGTATCAATACCATCAATACGATTATGACGACAATAGTAGTGGTGTTGTTGATGATAATCTTACATGCGAATAAATAGACACTTCCAATACAAGGTCCAATAGTTCATTGGCTTCAAGTTCCAATGGTTCAAGCGGTTTAAAAAAATGAATCGTAGCACATGGTTTTGTGTGGAAGCATTTTGAAAAAGTGAAAGATTCAAATGGAAATGAATTCATAATTTGCAAATTAAAAAAAAAAACGAAATATTATTGTTACATGTAATTACACTTCCTGTGACATATCGTTTGACTGATAAAAAAAAAATTTAGTCAACTAAAGAAAATTTTGACCAACTAGTAGTTGACTAAGGATTTTTTGGACGATTCCAACCTCTACTACAAACATTTTGGTTTTTAAAAGAAATATATCATTTGAATGTGTACTGAGAGTACAGACAGCATTTGGAAAATTCATGTAAAAGGAAATTAGACAAAGAAATAAACAAAAATTCAAAGGAATGCGACACACACCAAATGATTTTAAGGTCTTACAGAGACAAAAATGAACCAGAAAGTAAATCTACAATGAGTAATAATAAACAAATTCTTAAGCAGATCCTTTGGTCCAAACATGATTTGAATTTTGAGGCTCTTCGACCATTAATATATGATGAAAAGCGTGAAGAAAAAGATGGGCAAATCTTTTTCAATGATAATTTAGAACAAATCAATCTAGACAAGAGCAACTTCATTTCTGAATGTCTAAAAAAAATTAAAAACCAATTCAAAAGTCAAATCTAAAATTTGACATGTTCATTTTGCTTATAATAAAAATAATTAGCTTATAATAACAATAATAATGATCAAGTTTTAATAATCTAAAGTAATAATTGAACCCATACCCAAGATTTTCAATTTTACCCAAACCAGGTTTATACCCATATCTTTACAAATATATAAATTGGTTCTAATTAATATTATAATTGTCATCATTTCATGTATTCAAAACTTAGGATAAGAATAACAAAAATTCTTATATGAAATTTGTGTTTTGTCAATCAATAAGTTCAAAAAACGTTCAACAAATAAAATCATATGGCATGAATTAAACAATATTTTTTAATACAAAAAAGTAACTGAATTTCAACCATTTTTTATTACTAATAAAATCTGATACTCTAAATATTTATTACAAATGACCTAATTTACGCCTATGCCTTTACTGAAAAGTATACCAATTAATAAAAATTTACCTTATCTGCTATACTAATAAAAATTGCTTGAAATTCTAATATTTATAAATTCTGAAAAATAAAAGAAAAATAGAAACCAATCAAAATTTATAATCACCCAGATTTCATTACATACTTGCACTTATCAAGCCATCCATAAACCTGGTTAATTATTTCATGTGCCTCTTGTAATTTATTTTTCAACCATTCAATGTTTTCTCGCATGTGTTCCATTACATTCTCAGTTGTTGACAATGAGCCCAATGTTAGCTTAACATTCTCATAATGGATGTACCTAAAAACACAAATTTTAATAATAGAAAAGAAATCATTAAAGAAGCATTAAAATGGTGTCAACATTACTTAAGATCCTCTAGCAGTTCAACACATTCTTCAACTTTGTCCATATCAATAGAGTGATTATTAATTGTTTTATTCAGTTTTCCTTTGATTACATCCATTCTGCTCTGCAGTTTATTTAGCTTCACAATCACATCCACTGTTGGTCCTCTCAAGAGAATAATATACTTGCGCCTTTTATGCCTCAAGGAATTCTGGCAAAAAATTGTTACTTCATTATATGTCTTTTCTAGCAATGGATCATAATGAAGTTGACGGGATTTCTTTCGATCAAGAGTCTTATGAATCCAGTTTTGGATTTTTGTAGCAGCTTCATTGGCTTGGGGAGAATTATGGATCTGCTGAAACCATGTTTGGATTTCTGTAGCTGGTTCTTGGGTCTCATCAGAGAATTCAAACCGCTCATCTTCATTATAATCTTCATTAACAAGAATGGCAGACATTGAGCTGGAAGCTACTGGTGTTATTATTTGTCGAAGAGCAGAATGGAATTCCTGATTAGAAGTGTATTTAAGCTTCACAATACCATGTGACTCGAAGCTGTGAAATTTTGAGATGCCTCTCAAATTATAATAGACAATAACTAGAGAATCAAAGCCATTCTCCTTCAAGTCATCATTCAAAATTTTCACAAGGCAATAAAGTGAGTTTGATATAGAGCCATCTAAATGTTAAGAAAAACAGTGTTATATATTTATCTAATTATGTATGTTATATAGCCATATGAAAAAATTATTTGAATATTTAACTTTTCATATAATCTTCAGCCAGATATTTCTTGGCCTTAAGAGAAAAGATTTTATTGTTTAAGTGGTTGAAAAGATTGAAGATCTTTGGTGCAAAAACAGATTCATTCAAGCCAATGAGGACCAAGAGCCGTATCAGTCGAAGGGTAATCTTCAATTCATATTCCTTTTGGAGAAGAAACTGTTTAACTTGATTGAAAGAATCATTAATTGCAGCTAGATAGTTCTCTCTGTCATAAGCATATTGTCGATCCATAGTGAGTGGTCTCACAGTGAATGCTTTAAAATAATTAACAAGGTATGCTCGAGGGAGACAAAAATCACAATATTTAGGACTAGCTGCAAAAATCAATGATGCTGTAAACTCCATAAGAGATACAAGATCACCAAAGGCATCAGAGCTATCCAATTGGACTTGTTGAGTGTAGTTTATAGCATATTGAATAAACACTTTTGCATGTGAAATTGCATAACAAATTCTGTTTTTATAGAGATTATCAAAGAATAATGAAAGTCGCCTTCCAACTGGAATTGCTTGGTGATACCCATAGTCCTCAAAACCAATGGGTAATTCACAAGAATAGGAAAGCCCTATTGTTTTTGACATTTCCCAATTAAATTTATCAACAGACCATTTGTCTCTCAGCTGTTGCAAAATAAACATGCATTTTAACATAGCTGCAAAGTTGTCAGCATTCACAGACTCTCTAAACAACCATATTTTTTGAGCAAGACTGACAAATCCAGAATGTGTGTGTTTAGGAAGCTCTGAGAGTACCATTTGAGTTATTTCTGGGCAGCTTACCTGTGGTGATTGATAACGAATATGAAATTTAACAAGTTTTTCAGCCCACCGTCTTTGTATCCCAAGAACCTTTTTACTCTGATCTTCTCTAAGTAGCTCATGATGATGATATATTACATCCAACTGTCGAATAACAGTATAGTTGAGACTTGCAAGTTTCAAACGTTGGTGTAGAATTAGTGGTGTTGGAACCACATGATGATTTTTGCAATCTGATTTTTGACAGGATGCAAAAAAGCGGCAGATGTGTGAACTTACATCTGGAATAGAATGATTTTTATAGTCAACCTCACAGATGAGCTCAAAAATGTGTGAAGCAAGGAATTGTCTCATTTTCAGGTGCAAAACATCCACTTCATAAACATGCCAATCATCTATGATTTCATGATGAATTTCATCCCACATATGAAGAAGTGGATTATCCAAAAAAATTTTCCGTTCACGTGGGCGATTCTCAACTTCATTCACATTTACAAAAAAGATATCTTCAAAATCCTTGCAAATTTTTTCAATATTGTCAGCACTTTGATGTGGTGCTATAAAAGGAAAAGTCAATTCACATAGCCTTAACAGACATTGCAATCTTTCATTCAAATACTGTGCTGATTGAGGGATAATTTTCAGAAATATATTTACTGCACAAAATTCAGCAACAGGCTCTCTGCGACTTCTAAATAATTGTATATACTTATGAACACTATTGAAGTCCCCATCTAAATAAGCCAAGTATAATTGAAACTCTTTCATAAAGCTTCTCCACTCCTCAGATCTTTCCAATGATTGTGATCTGAGTTTCTTGACAAAATTACTTGCCTTGGCAAGAAGCCTAATCACTTCATGTTTGGCATTTGTATTTGTCATTGTATCTTTTATTATATTAACCCTGCATAGGTGTAAGAAGCACTTTAATGACTTTAATGCCTCAATGGTGTCTTTTGAACTGATGTTTTTCAAACTAATAATCTTATCAGCTGCTTCTTCAAACTTGCCACGTGAGCATAATTCTTTAACAACAGAGAAATAATCACCACTTTTCTCAAAAACCTTCAAAAGCTCTTCTGGTGCATGGTCTCGTAGAAGCTCCATTTGTTCATTTTTTGTAGGAAGAATAGAAAGAGCCTTTTCACTCATTTCTTTGTTGTTTTCCCGACGATAATGAATGTTGGCAAGACGGGAAACACGGTTAAATGTCTTCTCATCAATTTCTTGTCTGTATCTTGTTAAAAATAATTTAGACAAGTGTCAGATCATCATCAACAAGTCTTTGCCATGTAAAATTTACAACCCTCCCATAAATTTATATAATAATTGACCCCCAGTAAAAAATGTCATGCTACACTTATTTTCTCAACAAATTTAATAAATCATACTTTCATAATGACATAATATATCTATATATGCAACATAAATTGTATTGAATCATTTATAATATCACATGATAAGCTTACCTTTGCATCAGATCGATTGCTATTTCATAAAATCCACCACTTTTATAGGCATCAACAGCCTCAGTATATTTCTCAACCTTTTGAAAATTATTACCCGCTTTGTCCCATTTTTTGGCTTTAGAGTAACAATTGGCAGCAAGCTCAAACATATCCCATTCTACAAACACATCACCAGCTTCTTCATGCATGTCAATATCCTGAATGTTTGTAGATTTTAAATTAGTATTTAGACAGATGTGATCAATTTTTTAAAGTCATTATTTGATGTGACCCCATTTCAAAATGTCAAGAAAAAACAAAGATTTTACCTGATAGCATGAAGCTGCTTGGATTGGACGTGAACATTTTTTGAAGGCTTCAGCAGCACGAGTGAAATTAAATTTCATAGTGATATCATCAGAACTATATATAGAATCTCTGGCGACCTGCTGAAAATGATATGCTTCTGCTAGCTTACAGTTCTCTTGATTTCCACTTTTCCTAAAGCAAAGAACTGCCTTAAAGTGGATTGATTATATTTAGTTACACAGTTCATTGTATAACAGCAGAATATCTCAAATGTGATTTTTACCTGTTCATATTGCTTTTGTCCAAAAAAAATCTTTCCTCGTCGATCCCATGCATATGAATCACTTTTCTTGGCCAAGGAGGGCAAAGTACTGATTTCATCCACATCCTTAATTACTTTGACTAGATCATGGTGCTCCCAATACCTATGCATTGGCTCACTCCATTTGGTCTCCTCATCATAAATCCAAATTTGCTGTCGTGCTCTTGTCACTGCAACATAAAGGTGCTTGAGCTCCGAAGAAAGGATGTAATGCTTCTCATGAGAAAAGGGTTGAATTCCTTTTGAATTATCATCAAAAGCAGAGTGTATTGCTCGCCACTAAATGTGTGCACATATGAATCAAAGTGTTATTAAGTGACTAATAAATAAGGTGTGATTCAAGATATAAAACATAATATCTTACCTTTGATTGTGCAGGTGATTCAGTGAAGAAATTATACAACAGCACATCATTAAACTCCATGCCCTTGGACTCAAACACTGTCAATATCAATACAAATGCATTACCAATTTTTTTCTTCACTCGTTTTCTAGTTTCATCATCACGCACAATAATGACCTGCTCAGCACCAAACTCAATGTTACTTGTACCCTCACCCATAGAGAAGACATGAAAATAGAATTGTTCAGCCTCAACCCCATTGAAGACAATAGGTCGAGGACCACCAACTTCGCCACATTCACGTGACAGCTGGTCAATGGAATCGGGAAAAAAGTGAGTGATAAGATCAATCACTGATGAAGCAAGTTTAAGAATCCCATTGTGTGAACGGTAATTAATCTTCATTTCAAACAGTTCTGGTTGTTTTGGTTTTTTGTTTCTAGGCCTATTGTGAATGACATTGAATCGATCAACCTCCCAATCATGTATTAAAGCCTTCAGATCTATATTAAGATTAAACCATTGTCATGACAATTGTTTATTAAAAGAAGGATCATGTTAGATAAATTATTTATAACCATCCTTACCTTGAAACCGAAAAGATGAACCTCTTGCAATACATTGTGCTATATCTCCGGCCAAAAAAATGCTGTCAGCAAATTCAAAAAGTTTTAAAATAAGTGATAAATCTACAATGTTGTTGTCCTGACACTCATCAATATACAGTTCATGAATATGCAATGAATTAAGTGATATTGTTTTAGCACAGCGTAAAATATCAATAGTCCTAAAAGAAAAGTGTTTGAAAATTTTATCAAAAATTTTTTTAAAAATTATGTATCATCTGAGATTACTTACATATCTATTGAGTCATAGTCAAAATTTCTAGACTTTCTTCTCTGATATTCTTGGAATAAGTCATAAATTTCACCACGATTGTAACAAAATGCTGGGTATTTCTTGGTGCTGATTTCTTGATATTCCTCTCTTGATAGATGCTTACCCTCCAGATTAGAGCCCTTAAGAAAATTTGAGAAAAAAAGGCTTAAATTTTGAAATAGAACATTATATGCGTTCCTGTCATAATTTAACAGTTAACTAATGAATGGTATCAATATACAGTAATCTTACAAGCCTATGTAGGATTACAGTTAAACTATAACAGTAAATTTAAATTAACAAAATCAAAAAACTGTAATCCTATAAATTGTTAAATCACAGAAGATCAATTTCGTAATGTAGATGTAGTGATTTATATATTGCTACATACCTTGATAATGGCAAACTCGGAGAATACCAACCCACAATCAAGATTTTTCCTATAATAATCATTGAAATGAGGCCAATATTTATTTGCAAAGAGATTATAGTCTACAAAGTGTCTCCATGATGCATCTGACACACTACTGATAAAGTCTTGTTGGTGTAATAATCTCTCTATATCATTATCATTTTCATTAAATTTTGGTTGTTTGGCTGGATTCTGAAAATCAATGCCATAAGTTCCCTGGAGCATTTGGATAAACTTTTTGTAAGTAATTATCAATGGGAAATAGTCATCTGTCAGTTTACTATAATGGAATGAGTTTGGAATGTCATTCAGCATATCTTCCTCTTCAAGCTTTGTGTCATTTGCATCTAAATTAACATTTTCCTCCCCTTTTCTACGCACATACTCGTGAAATTGAGCTTCTGACATCTTTTCATTAGCAAATAATGCGGACTCTCGCAGTTTGTTGAAGTGTTCCTTTACTCTGCAGCACAAGTTTTCACTCAATGTGATAAATATTTGCCTTTTCTGAGAATTCCCACCATTGTCATTTGAAGATGATATCATATTGAGATGGCTTTTCAGATACGAAGCAAGAAGCCTAAACACAATACATGTGGTTTTGCCAGTTCCTAGGTATCAAATAGAACAAACAATATTAGCTTCTTTCCCTAATTATAAGGACGAACTAGATTACTAATACTAACCAGAACGACCAACAACAATTGCTGATGTGGGATGGTTGATAATTTTGTGCTCAAGCTCAGATACTTGAAAAGTAAAGTCAGTGCCACCCCTGACAAGTGACTTAAACAAGTCCTGCAAACAAGATCGTTTAACATCTGATAAATTTGTCTAAATCTTTAGATAGTAATGATTTGTTCATATTCATACTCTACCTTTGATAATGGAACAAACTTATTTGTAGTAAGCATTTCATGGATCTTTAACAAATTTTCATCATCCATTTGGTTACTACTCAATCTGCGCTCGGTAGACTTTGTTACTTCCTCACCTCCAAAGGTTACAGGTAAAATGATATCATCTTTGCTGGTCTGTTGAAAGGTACAACGGTGTTTATGTTCAGAAGTGTAGACTTTATGAAGTAATTCTGTATTTTTTAATATATCCGTAATTTGCTTCTGGTTTTTAGTGACTGCCCAAACCTCCACATACTGGATGAATGAACTGTTACGAACAGAAAATCCATAATCAACCTGCCAGAGAATTTTCAATCCATCATTATCTGGAAGCTCTGCCACATAAATAGGTACGATTTGAGAGTGAGATTCCACTGTATGCTGGAGTTTGTGCTTTTTCCATTTTCCGCTTGATATCTGCATTAGTTTCTCCGTGACTGCCTTAATCGCAAGAGGATCCAACACTCGCATATCTCTAATCGCAAAATCACTAAGCAGAACATCCCATGGACCAAGTTCATCATCATTGATTTCAAATGGCAGACGAAAAATCACTTCGTTCATTTTTGCTTTTCCGATATTACGAGTATATATAATTGCAAATTGTATATATAACTAAACCAAAAATAGCAATAAATAATACTTTCTGATAAGTTTATTTCAATACTTTTAAAATATATTTTTGAATATCGTTGTTCTTTACCACTAGGGGCTAAAAGTTAATAATTCTTTCTTTAATGAGAAATAAAGTAAAAAAAAATCAAAAATTTATTTACAACAAAGTAAAACGTGATATATATATATATAAATATGTATATGATATGTATAATGGTATAAGAGTAAAAAAAAGAGAAATTTTCCGATGGCAGTATTAGGTGGGAATAAAATGATGTTAATTTTAAGTGTCATTGTTACCATTTAAAGAATGTGTATTTATGCACGAGATCTTTGCCTATAATAATACAAATGAATGGGTCAAGTGATCGATTAAATGGTGATATGTTTTAAGAATTACCAAAATTGTATAATAATAATATTTGGGTTCGATGTACAGTTAATTTTCTTTGGAACGATAAGAATATATTTAGCTTCAACGTACAATTCTCTTTTAAGAATATATGAATAATATATTTAACTTCAATCTTTCAATGGTGACCATATCATACAAATCTATCAATTGATCGATTCATTAGAAGAAATTAAATGATTCTTTAATGTTTTTTTATTATTGGTTTTTAAAAAATTTTCTCTACTTTTATGTTTTTTATTTATTATGATTTGAAATTGGTTTTTTGGATTAATTTGCCCTTGGATTAAAGCATCTTTTAGGCTAGTTAATCGGACAACAATTTACCTTTATCAGTTACTACTAAGCCTGCTTGCAACTTTCTTATATTTTTCGGTGTATGCATTTAAATGAGCCGATACTCTGACACTTGAAGATTATCTAAAGTTGCTTGTGAAATTTACAAGAAAAAAAATAAATAAATAAACAGTAGGAAAAAAAAATCAGAATGAAAGTGGGCAATTATTTACCTAATGAAAAGTGGAAGAAGGAAATAATATGGATGGAAACTTATGATTATATAATTAGGAAATAATAATCGCTATACTAAAGTTGTGGCTGCTAATCATAATCATTCAGTCGAAAATATCAATAATTTAGTTAATAAAAATGTTTTCAGACCAATATCAAGGTATTGTACTAATAGAAGTCATAGAAGAGGATATAGACGTCATCCATCATGGAAGAACTAATCACACTATAAATGCTGAAGACATTGATACACATTGTTAGCGAAGGATCACAACTTGAAAAAAAAGAAGCTAGGACAGCTTGTTACTTCAAGAAAATCAAACAATTTTAAAGATTTTCGATATCCAGATTGCCCTTTAAACTAGTTTTAAATTTTAAAAAATAATTTTTTCTTAATCCAAAGGGATATTAATGTGAATATTTAATCGTGAATGTTATGATTTAATACACATTCGTATATAATTAAAATTGAGTAGTCATATTAAGTTAATTAATAATATGTTATAAACTAATTCTTATTTTGCAGTTTGTGACAAACAGTTTGAACAGTTTGATGTATGTTTTTTAAAATATATAGTTGGCTTGGCCTAAAGACCTCCTAAATTTTGCGCAAATTTTAAAAGTATAGAAGTCACTTTCTGTCCTATCTTTTAAAAAATAGCCTCATTAATTGACAGAATATGTCTCTAGTTTTAATGTAATCAAGAGATTTTCTCAAATTTTCACCAAAGAATTTGAGCGCCATGATCATGATAATAGTACGTACATATGACCATATATCTAAATTTGGCAGTAAGTCAAAATCACGTGATGACTCATTTTGAAATGAACACGAATTTGAGCAATAGAAGGTCTTTAGACCGAGCCAACCATACAAATTTAATTTTAAATTTGGGTTATTTTATCATTAAAATAATTCTTATTTTTTATTTATTCAAAACATGACCAAAAAGTTTTTCCCTCTAATCTAGTTAAATCGAAGAATAGGCAAATACAGCCAAACCTCATTTCAACCAACGAATCTATGGGAAATGGTGCATAAAAGAATCAATGTATTTTCGAAATTATTTCCTATTTACTAAACTTCGGCCATAACTTTGTAATAATAGTTTATACTATTGTTAGGCAGACTTCAACAACAACTCGTTCATCAACACCAGGACAGGTAACCATGTCATTTCCGTTCATCATCAACACCAGGACAGGTAGCCATGTCATTTCCTACAATATTAATAAAACATAATAGAATTATGATTAAATAAAAATATACTTCTTTTGATAATAAATAAATATTTTTTTATGATATATAAGCAAATTAATAAAGTATTTGCTAGTTTAAAAATCAATAAAAGAATAAATCCACATACTTTAGCACTCGATTAAAATGTAATAGCAATCAAATATCTGTCCCTTTGAGGATAATTCTAACTTCAGAACCTGCATAATTTTTTGATGCGTGAGATTTGAGTCCCTTGTTTAATCCAAACAGCCAAAGAATGATCGTACTCTTTCTTCCAAATTTTATGATTGAAGAAGGGTGTATACTTACTTCCAATAAATTCCTTGACTCGCAAAATTCAGGATTTAATCCACGAATATATTTAGCAGTATCTTTCTTAGAGGCGGGTATGAAATAGTTGAGTGACTTTCTAATATTAAATGTAGATAATCTATCTGATAATAACAAACAAAGGATTTTCATTGGATTAATTTATTTATATATATGTTTCAATTAACTAAAATCACGTGAGGTACATTTTTGGGAATATTTTTTTGAAATTTGGTCGCGTGACGCAACAAGAGGAGAGTTTTTAGACCACATTTCATTTTTTTATATATTATGCAAAAAAACTCGATTTTGGTCGGGCTGGTTAGTGTTAATGTTAGTAATCTGGTTACATCCTTATAATTGAGGAAAAAATGACATTGTTTGTTCTATTTGATACTTAGGAACTGGCAAAACCACATGTATTTTGTTTAGACTCCTTGCATCATACTTGAAAAATCAATTCAATAGGATACCAAATGACAATGATGAGAATTCTCATAAAAGGCAAATATTTATTACATTGAGTGGACACCTTTGCTGCAGAGTAAAGGATCATTTCAACAAGTTGCGAGAGTCTGCAGAATTTGCTGATGAAAGGATGACTATGGCTCAATTTCATGAGTATTTAAGTAGAAAAGGAGAGGAAGATGGTAATATTGATATGACAAATGATACGAAGCTTGAAGAGGAAGATATGCAGGACGACATTCCAAACTCATTCCATCAACTGACAGATGTCCATTTCCCATTGATAATTACCTATAAAAAGTTTATCAAGATGCTCCAGGGAACTTATCGTATTGATTTTCAGAATCCAGCCGAACAACCAAAATTTGATGCAAATGGCGGTGATAATGATGATGATGATTATGATGTGGTGGTGGAGGAATTAAGCCAACAAGACTTTATCAGTAGTGTATCAGATGCATCATGGAGAAACTTTGTAGACTATAAACTCTTTGTAGATAAATATTGTACTAATTACTATAGGAATAAATCTGGGCTGATATTCTCCGAGTTTTCTATTATCAAGGTATGTAACAATATGTAAAATCCCTACATCTACATCATGAAGTTGATTTAACAATTATATAGAATTACAGTTATTTTTGATTTTGTAAGTTTAAATTTATTGTTGTAATTTAACTGTAATCTTACGCAGGGTTGTAAGATTGATACCATTAGTTAATTGTTAAATTATGGCAGGAAAGTTTCATGATGCATATAATATTCTGTTTCAAAATTTAACCCTGTTTTTCTTAAGGGTTCTAACCCAGAGGGTAAACACCTATCGAGAGAGGAATATCGGGAAATCAGCATCAGGAAATACCCAGCATTTTGTTACAATCGTGATGAAATTTATGACTTATTTCAACAATATGAAAAGAAAAAGTCCCATTATTCTGACTATGACTCAATAGATATGTAAGCAGTCTCAGATAATACATAATTTTTTATTTTTTATAAAAATTCTCAGACCTTTTCTTTTCTTTTAGGGCTATTGCTATTTTACGTTGTGCCAAAAAAGAACCACTTGGTGGACTGCATATTCATGAACTATACATTGACGAATGTCAGGACAACAACATGGTAGATTTATCACTTATTTTAAAACTTTTTGAGCGTGCTGACAGCATTTTTTTGGCTGGAGATATAGCACAATGTATTGCAAGGGGCTCGTCTTTCCGATTTGAAGGTAAGGATGGTTATAATTAATTAATTATCTACACATTGCCCCTCTTTTAATAACCAATTGTAATGGCAATGGTTTAATATTAATATAGACCTGAGGGCTTTGTTGTATAATTGGGAACTTGGTCGATCTAATGTTATCCACAATAGGCCCAGTAACAAAAAACAAAAAAAAACAAAAAAAACCAAATCAACCAGAACGATTTGTAATGAATATTAACTATCGCTCACACAATGGAATCCTTAAACTTGCTTCATCAGTGATTGACCTTATCTCTCGCTTTTTTCCTGATTCCATTGACCGGCTGCCACATGAATCTGGCGAAGTTGGTGGTCCTCAACCTATTGTTATCCACAATATTGAGGCTGAACCATTCTTATCTCATGTCTTTTCTGTGGCTAAAAATGTGGCAAATAATATCGAATTTGGCGCTGAGCAGGTCATCATTGTACGTGATGATGAAACTAGGCAGCGAGTGACGAAAATAATTGGTGATGATGATGTTGTATTAGTGTTGACAGTGTTTGAGTCCAAGGGTATGGAGTTTAACGATGTGGTGTTGTATAATTTTTTCACCGAGTCACCTGCACAATTAGAGGTAAAATATTATGTATTCTGTTTTAGATCACACCTTATTAGTCACTTAGTAATTCTTGAATCATATGTGCACACATTCAGTGGCGAGCAATCCATCCTGCTTTTAGCGGTCATTCAAAAGGAGTTCAACCCTTTTCCCATGAAAAACATTACATCCTTTCCTCAGAGCTCAAGCATCTTTATGTTGCAGTGACAAGAGCACGGCAGAAAATTTGGATATATGATGAAAACTCTGAATGCAGTGGGCCGATTCGTAAATATTGGAAGCACCACGAGCTGGTCAAAGTAATTGATAATATTAAAGTCTTGCCTTCCTTGGCTAAGAAAAGCAATTCATATGAATGGAATCAAAAGGGAAAGGGTTTTTTTGGACAAAAGCGATACGAACAGGTAAAAATCAAATTTGAAATATTCTATATATCATAAAATAAAATGAGTTAACTAAATCGAACCAAATCACCTTTAGGCCATTTTCTGCTTTAAGAAAAGCGGAAACAAAGAGAACCGCAAACTAGCAGAAGCATATCATCTTCGGCAGATTGCCAGGACTTCTATATATGGTTCTGATGAAGCCACTGTGAATCACAATTTCGAATGTGCTGCTGAGGCTTTCAAGAACTGTTTACGACCAGTTCAAGCAGCTTCATGTTATCAGGTAAAATTTTTGTTTTTTCTCGACATTTTCAAAACGGATGGCACTGAATAGTCACCTTAAATTATTGATTACATCTTTCTAAATAATAATTCATAATTTGATACTCAAAAATATAGGATATAAATATGCATGGAAAAGCTGGCGATGTTTATGAAGAGTTTGATATGTTCGAGTTTGCTGCTAATTGTTACCTTAAAGCCAAAAAATGGGACAAAGCGGGTAATAATTTTCAAAAGGCAGAGAAGTATACTGAAGCTGTTAATGCCTATAAAAATGGTAAACTTTATGAAAAAGTAATCGATTTGATGCAAAGGTAAGCTCATTATTGTGATATCCTAAACAATTTGATGCAGGATTAATAGAGATTTTAGATTTCGATAAGATTGATTTTAGTAAAGAATATTTTCATAGCAATAATCATGTAGTTATCTGCAAAAAAAGTCTGCAATTGCAATTTTATTGGTAAGTAGGTTGGATTAGACATATTCAGAAATCAATTGATGATTGCAGATTTTTTGCAGATAACTCATACAGTCAAACCTTGTCATGACGGACCTTTCCACAGCAGACTATAATTAAATTCTTGTCATAACGAATTTTAAATAAAATTTTCTTATATGTCTTGTTCATCCACTGTGACAAGGTTTGACTGTAGTAGCATTAGATCCTGCCATTTTAAATTAATTAAATTTGTTGAAAAAAAAATTAAGTGTAGCATCATCAGAAAATTTTTTTAATTAATTTTTATGCAGTATTTACTGAGGAACATGATGATCTGACACTTGTCCAAATTATTTTAACAAGATACAAACAAGAAATTGATGAGAAGACATTTAACCGTATTTCCCGTCTTGTCAACATTCATTATCGTCGGGAAAATGACAAAGAGATGAGTGAAAAGGCTCTTGATATTCTTCCTACAGAAGAGGAAAGAATGGAGCTACTACGAGACCATGCACCAGAAGAGCTCTTGAAAGTTTATGAGAAGGGTGGTCAGTATTTCTCTGTTGTTAAAGAACTATGCTCACGTGGAAAGTTTGAAGAAGCAGCTGATAAGATCATTGGCTTGAAAGATATCAACTCAAAAGACACCATTGAGGCATTAAAGCATTTCTTACCCCTATTTAGGGTTAATATAATAAAAGATACAATGACAAATACAAATTCCAAACATGAAGTGAATAAGCTCCTTGCCAAGGCAAGTGATTTTGTCAAGAAATTCAAATCACAATCATTGAAAAAACCTGAGGAGTGGAGAAATTTTATGAAGGAGTTTCAATTATACTCAGCTTATTTAGATGAGGATCTTGATACTGTTCATAAATGTATACAATTTTTTAGAAGTAGCAAAGAGCTTGTTGCTGAATTTTGTGCAGTAAATATATTTCTGCAAATTACACCTCAATCAGCACAGTATTTGAATGAAAGATTGCAATGTCTGTTAAGGCTATGTGAATTGACTTTTCCTTTTATAGCGCCACATCAAAATGCTGACAATATTGAAAAAATCTGCAAGGATTTTGAAGATATCTTTTTTGTAAATGAAGTTGAGAATCGTCCACATGAACGGAAAATTTTTTTAGACAATCCACTTCTTCATATACAGGATGAAATTCATCATGAAATCATAGATGATTGGCATGTTTATGAAGTGGATGTTTTTCACCTGAAAATGAAGCAATTCCTTGCTTCACACATCTTTGAGCTCATCTGTGAGGTTGACTATGGAAATTATTATATTCCAGATGTAAGTTCACACATCTGCCACTTTTTTGCATCCTGTCAAAAATCAGATTGCAGAAACCATCATGTATTTCCAACACCACTAATTCTACACCAACGTTTGAAACTTGCAAGTCTTAATTATACTGTTATTCGACAGTTGGATGTAATATATCATCATCATGAGCTACTTAGAGAAGATCAGAGTGAAATGGTTCTTGGGATACAGAGACGGTGGGCTGAAAAACTTGTTAAATTTCACATTCGTTATCAATCACCACAGATAAGCTGCCCAGAAATAACTCAAATGGTACTCTCAGAGCTTCCTAAACACACACGTTCTGGATTTATCAGCCTTGCACAAAATGTATGGTTGTTTGTAGATTGTGTGAATGCTAACAACTTTGCAGTTATGTTAAAATCCATGTTTATTTTGCAACAGCTGAAAGACAAATGGTCTGTTGATAAATTTTATTGGGAGATGTCAAAAACAATAAAGCTTTCCTACTCTTATGAATTACCCATTGGTTTTGAGGGCTATGGATATCACCAAGCAATTCCAGTTGGAAGGCGACTTTCATTATTCTTTGATAATCTCTATAAAAACAGAATTTGTTATGC